GCTGCCCAGCTGCTCCTCTCCTTCTCCTCTCTCTGGCCGGACTGTTCCCATTAATCCTAGTTAGCATTAGCCAGTGGTGAGGGCTGATAGGAGTTGCTGCCATTCAACAACATCTGCACTACCTACTCCCTCCCACCTGCTTTAGTTGCAGATTTTTAATTTACTACATATATAACACAGTATAGAAAGCTATACTTGAGAATTACACTGGTGGTGATCAAGCATGACACCAAACCTGATCATGGTTACCTATCCACCATGGCTCCCTATACTAATCTTTCTGCAGATATAGCAGAACAGACAGTTATATATGAAATCTTAGTGGTTTGAGAGTTGGACTACATCTCTAGAGACCAAGGTTCAAATTCCAACTCAGCCATGCAGCTCACGGGGTGACTTTGGGCAAGTTACACTCTTGCAGCCTCAGGGGAAGGCAATGGCATATTTCCTCTGAACAAATCGTGCCAAGAAAACCCCATGATAGGTTTGCCATAGGGAAGCCATAAGTTGTAAATAATATGAAGGTCCATAACAACAACAACAACAACCACCATCATCTTTATGCCAATAACAGCACAATGGCCTTGTAGAGGTGAGATAGGGACTTAAAACTGTTGTTTGGCAAGCCCCAAACCCCAGTACTGGTCTTTGAAAATACAATAGTCACAGGTTGCCCAGGTGATTTGGTACTGGCTTTCAGATGACTATGACTTTGGAAACCAGGGTTGGAATCCTTGCTCAGCCATGGAAATCTACTGGGTTACCTTGGGCAAGTCACCCTCTCTCAGCCTCAGAGAAAGGCAATGGCCAAAAAAGCAAACAAACAAACCAAAAAAACCCCCCTCTTAACAAATCTTGCCAAGAAAATCTCATAATAGGGTCACAACTTGAAGGCACACAACAAAAACAATCAGATGAAAATGGCATAAAACTAATTAAAGGAAGCAACAGCTGAAAAATTAGGACAATTAGGATAAATGCTAAATAATTCCATTAGGATAGGTATTTGGCTGAGCCATGGCTGGGAGAATCCTGTGTAGCTCCAGGAGCTTTAGAAAACTGCTTTCTGAAAACAAATAAACGTTTACTCTGTAAATGTTGTAACAAGTATGGTACTTTGGTGTTCATAATTGCTCTTGTCAATTTCCAAGCACATGTCCTACTACACGAATGGGACCTTTGGGTTATTTGCTGCACTGGATTTACTGTCTCCCAGAAAAACAAAGTGCTAGTATCTCACTGTTAAAGAAATTAAGAATGTGGGAGAGAGTCAGATTATTACAACATTAAATCATTTTTGTGGATTTTTGATAAGCTAATGCAATTTTCAAATGTTTCATTCCAGATTGGCATGCTTATAACTACTCAGTTGGCACACAGAGATGTGTAATTAATCTTTTTTGTACCTTTTGTGGTCCAACTCCCTCCTCCTAATAATAATTGTTATGCAAACTAAGGCAGGTTTCAGAAAGCATTTTGACCAGATTCCACGCCTCACCTGCCATTGACAGACTTTCTCTTTCCCTGGCCTCCAAAACTATCAAAAGGTGCATCGCACTGAGTAAGGAATTAATAATCATCTTGCAATAAAAACTCATGCCAAGATAATTCTCTCTTCTTATGGAGTATCAATTTTAAAGCCAGTTTAAGTCTAAAAAGGAGCTTAAGGAAAAACCATAAGACTGTAATTTTATTCTATTTTTTTCATTTGCAAAGATATGAAGAGGTTGGGGAGGGGGACTTCCCTAGAATAACGGTAAAGATGCTGTGATGGTTTGATGTTTGGTAAATACAGTTAAACAACAATAATAACAAAACATGATATATTTGTTTTTCAAGGTGCTCCAAACCAAAGCTAGGAGTTTATAGTTAGCATGGAATTACTGAGCGCAGAGACTCATTCCAGTTTTCCTGTTACTTTCAAGCATTTTAGATGAGAAATCCAGACAGTGTCTTAAATCATTCTGCTGGAAGGAAATCAGCAGGATAATGCCAGTCATATTAATTACTTGCAGAAGGAAGGTAAGCGGAAGAGTGAATTAAAAACAACAGGTTTTATACTCTTTTCCCCTCTCCATCCTGCCCCCACCCACAAGAAACCTAAGAGAGAATAGTTGCAATTTCATTTGCTTTTAAAGCACAGTGCTTGGTAATAAACGGCCTCGGCAAATGTGCTGAGCAAACACCTTAGCATTCATCAATATGCGGGAGCTGTTTATTGCCTCATAAACTTGGAAGCAAGTGATATTGTCTCTTAAATCAATGGCTGCCTGGACATCCTTGACACTGGAGAAGAACAGCACATCCAGACAACGCTGATACTTAAATTAATGACTCTGGTAATGACTGAAAGGTGCTTAGTCACCAATGGAAAAATTAGGCACAAAACTGGAGTGTTCAGCATAATATATGGACTGCAAAACAAAGGGAAAGGATGGGGATGGATGTGTGCCTCACACTTCAGTGACCATGACCCATTTTAAGCAAAAGCAAGTGGGTGACTGTGGAGGGAACCAGGCTAATTTTGCTCCAGCTGATGCTGGAAGCAGGCACTTGAAAATCAACGCATCAACATTCAGGGGCTGGTTGGGAGGGATGTACATTGAATGAGCTCATGCCTTCTACACATTTTAAGAACGCTTAACAATTTACACTGAAGATGAGGCTAGTTATTTTTAACACATTAATACTCTGAGTTTTACACAGCTATAATAGGATTGTAGAGATGGGACCACAAGAGATCTCTAATAGGACCACAAGAGATCTCTAATGCAACCCCTTGCAATGCATGAATGTACAACTAAACCACTCTCAGAAGATAGCCATCCAACCTCTGTTTATAGATCTCCAAAGAAAGAGAGTCCACCACCACCCTTCAAGGCAGTCCACTCCACTGTTGAACATTTCTTACAGTCAAGAGGTTATTGCTATTGTTTAGGTGGAATCACTTTTCTGCGAATGTGACTCCACTGGTTTAAGTCCTAGTCACTGGAGCAGCAGAAAACAATCTTGCTCCATCTTCTACATGACATCCCTTTGGGTATTTGACTAGTGGGAGCTAGTGTGGTGTAGTGGTTTGAGTGTCAGTCTACAATGCCAGGAGATCAGGGTTCAAATCCCTGCTCAGGAATGGAAACTGCCTTGGGCAGTGGCATCACTAGGGGTGGGTGGGAAGTGTGGACCACATGAGGGGACACCTAAAGGGTTAGGTGACACCACTGCTCCTCAAACACCTATCTTTTGGCAGATATGGGCTATGGCATTCATCTGCTTCCCTTTAAAATACATTAAGAGATGGTGGGAGTGGGATGAAGCTCAGTGGGAGGAGAAGAGGCCCCAGAATTCTTTTTTAAATTAAAATTTCAACATTTTAATTTTTTACTTTTTATTTTAAAGTTTTAAATTTTGCTAATTGTTTATGTCACAACTAGTAGCATTACATTCAGTGGTTTAAGGGAATCGGGATTTACGAGTAACTATAGTGCAAAAAAGCATTAATAAGGATTCTGTATGGTGTGAAATGGGAGGAGGGCAATGGAGAGAGTGACACCATGAGTTACCACACCCGGTGACACCAATCCTAGGGATGACACTGGCCTTGGGCAAGTTACCCTCTATCAGTCTCAGAGAAGGGCAATGCCAAACCCACTCTGAACAAATCTTGCCACAAAAACTCTGTGATAGGTTCACTTTAGAGTTGCTATAAGTCAGAAATTACTTGAAGGCATACAACAACAAGAGCAACCAGATGTTCCTTGACTGCAACTCCCAGAAGTCTTCATCATCATAGCCAATGTTGAAGGATACTGGGAGCTACAGTCCAACAACATCTGGAGGGCCTCATGATTCCCACACTAACAGATAGATAGATACATAGATCGATAGATAGTATCTGCTTCTAGCTAAATGATAATGATGAGGAGGACCACTATGGTTATTATCACCAGAAATGTAGAACAAAGACTGAACAGATCAGAGAAACCAGAAAATCTTGCTTAGCATCTGAAAAAATCAAGATCAATTTCCACTTGTGTGAGCAATTTTTTCTCTCTAGTGTTGCTAATTTTGTTTCATCTCAAACATTAATGAGGAAACTGACAATAAGATTGCAGTTTGTCTTTAAAATATTAGGATTTGCATTGAAACATTTCAAAAATTAAAGGCTATATTTGTAGCAAAGCAAAGCCCTTAATTTTGGATGGTTATGCTGACTACGATACTAGCAAAACCTGAAATTGAAAAGTCTGCCAGCCAGTGCATTAGCCCTAAATAGCTGTACTGACACATTTGAAAGGTGGAGAAGAGAGGAGTTGGGGACACATGTGAGAAATTGTCCCTACATTTGGGAAATTAAAACAACAGGATGGTTGGCTCGGAAAAGAAACCACTGAGACTATGATGATGTCCTGAGATGCTTTTAAAAGGATAAACTGTTCTATCATGATTAGTGTGGAATGTTGTTAATAATAATAATAATAATTTTTATTTATATCCCGCCCCTCTGCCAAGCAATCGGGGTGGCATACAGTATTCAAAATATCAAAACAAGTCACATCAAATCAGATCCCATCACTTGAGTAATCAAAGTGATTACTCAAAGTGATTGTTCACTTGAGTAATCAAAAAAGAAGATATAATACTGAGACAAAGAGCAGATCTGCCCAGCATATGACCCAGTTAAACCACACACCAGCCATGTGTGACAACCCAGCAGGGGTTGGATATGTTTTTGTTTTTGGTACCACAAACAGGAAAAAATGAGGAATGCCTAGGAAGCTTATCTTGGATCCTTGCAATCTGCCATGTTCTCCAAGACATCAACTGAGAATAGAGAGCATACATACTAGCAAACCTGTAACTGACAATGTATTAACCGCATCTCAGTACAATGATATGGAGCTCTAGAGGCTTTGTGAAATGCTTTGGTTCTAGACCAGGAATTAGGGCTGCTGTTTGCCTGGAATGACCAGGAATTAAGCTCTAGCTCCAGACTAATTGTCACCCCTCCAGGTCTGGCTGGGAATTAACTTTGATCTCCAAGAACCTCTTGAGGCCAATATTGAAGATATGACAAGCCACCATTGTGGTCCTACACTCATCTCAAAAGACCTAAGGAAGAATGTCCAAGAGATATGGGGTAGTGGTAACACTTAATGAAGAGGGGAAGGGAATTCATAGAAATTAGTCCTGGAGAAAAGTTACAAAATGAGACTGCAGAGGTGCAGAGACATCCAGGAGTGATAAAGCGGAGGAAATAACTTTTCCTGTATATCTCTTATTAAATATATTGCTGTCTGCTGAGCCAGGCACAGGTATCTCTGAACTATACTGATTAGTCATACAATTTTTAGTTCTTAAATTTAATCTAAAACATCTCAATCATGACAATGGCGAAGGACCTTTTGGCTCTTAAAAAGCAGAAGATATTCATGTAGTTGAAATGATCAGAGCTGCAAGTAAGATACATTCAAAAATTGGCTTCATCAACTCAACAGAGCTACAGCAGAATGCATTCTGTGCTGCCAAGGGTTTTCAGTTAAAGAATGAGGAAAGAAAAGCAGCATCAAAGCCAGGATGAAAGTATAAAATAAAAGGTGATGGAGAAACAAAGAAATAAACATCACAAACATATAATTTTTTTACCAAAAGGCATTCTTTCCAAGAAAATCACATGACAAAGAGTTGAACCAGGGTTGGTTAATCATAGTATTTCACATCATTTAAGTTACACAAGCCAAAACTATGCAAACAACATTATTTCAGGAATATTGCCTGATTTTGAAATTTTTCAGAACAAAAGCAACTAACATAAAGAAAATATAGAACTGTTGTTCAAAGAACTGGATAATCCACAGTAATTCCCACCAGCAGCAACATATGAGTCTGATGCCTCCAACAAACAACATGGGACAGTCTTCTCATTTACAGTATTGTACTTTTCTGTGACAGAGGGAATCACGCATGAATTGTTTGATTTTGACAAAGATAGTGATACTGATAGAGATAATGATGAAACAAATAAGGCAATTGCAACCTGGCTGTCCAGTAGTCTATAGAAGAATGGTCTCAGCATTAACAGTATTGTATGTCTTCTTAGGTGACTGACAATACCCCTGTTCATTTAGAAATACATAATTCAGGAGTTAAAACAACTTAATGACCACCTGATACAAGTGGAATACAGTAGGCCCTCAGTATCTGTGAACTTGCCATCCATGGCTTCCAGCATCCACGGACTGCAAGCTTGTGGGAGTGGGGGACAGAGGAGGAAGAGATGGAGGGAGAAAGAGGAAGAGGAGGCAGGCGCAGAGGAGGAAGAGGTGGAGGTAGAAGGAGGAAGAGGCAGTGGTAGCAGCAGGGGGAGGAGGAGGAGGAAGAAGGACCTGAGTGGGTGTCCCTCCCCTCTCTTCCAGGTTTAGCAGCAGCCCTGTGGCCTCAAAACTTTGGGAAGGTCAGGGGCTGGGGGCAGGCTGGCCTCAGGGAGTCAAAGGTTGTCTGGGGATGGAGGCCCCTCTTCACAGCTGGAGTCGCTGACTGGCATCTCTTCTTCACTTCTGCAGAGTCACCCCACATGTCTGTGCAACTTCTGAACTGTTTGGTTGTTGTTGTTGTGTGCCTTCAAAGCATTTCCAACCTTATGATGAAACTAAGGCAATGAACCTATTATGGGGTTTTCTTGGCAAGATTTGTTGGAGACTCAGAGACTTGCCAAGATAGCCCCATTATGGGAGCAACTTGAAGGCACACAACAACATCATAACTATAAATGCTCCTCTTTTGGAGTTGAGGAGATGGGCTTTCTTCTGTCACAATGAGAGGAACAACAAAGAGGATGGTGGAGCATCCTTCTTGGCACTGGCTCTCCTCTCTTGGGCTGACCAACATTCCCAGTGGGGCGGTAAGAAAGAAAGAAAGATCGGTTGGTTCATTCAGCTTGGAGATTTCCCCCTTCCTTCCCGCCTATCTCTTCTGCAGCCCAGCAGATTTCTAAAAGGAAGGAGCCACTCAGCTTGGCTCCAAAATCCTTGGAGGCTGGAATCCCCTGTTAGGCATTGACTTTTGGAGTGAGTTCCCTTTGAAAGGAAGCTGGTCTTCTCTACAAGTAAGGATCAGCCATTATTGTTGTTGTTGCTGCTGGTGGTGCTGCTACTGTGTGCCTTCACATTGATTCTGACTAATGCCGGTGGCAGCAAGGGGGGGGAAGAGGAGGAAGCAGGAAAAGTGGTGGTAGGAATAGGAGAAGCAGGAGGAAGAGGAGGGGGAGGCAGCTCCCTTCTGCCTGCCACAGTGAGAGCAGTGCGGTGGGCTTTGGGTGGCCAAGGCAGCAAAGTCCTATTGTCTCCAATGGTGTCATGGCCAAATGGCCGCACCACCATTGAGGACAATGGGACTTGAGCATCTGCAGATTTTGGTATCTACAGGAGGATCCAGCAGACACTGAGGGCCAGTTGTAATCTGAAATTCCCTCAAAATTGTCTTTAAATTGTGATGCAAAGAAATTTATGTTCAGTGAATTTAGCATCTTGCGTCCACCTTGGGAGAAAGGCAGCATACACATGAAATAAATAAATAAATAATAAAAATAAAATCTTGGCCAAAATGGCAGAATCTTTTTTATTCTTCTTCCATTTGTCACACACACTGTTACCCATAGAAGGGTGCAGGACTGTGGGGTCCCCACCAAGTATGTCAGTGTTACTTTAAAGGTTGAGGAAATTAGCTTTCCAAGAGGCTGGGTAACTGGGTATATCATAATAACAGGAGAGCTCCAGGTCTGGATAAGTTAAGGTGGTTTTATTTAGAAAAATGCAAAGTGCAACCACAGACACATGATAGCAATTCGCACAGCCAAAGCATTCAGAGTTAATGAATCATCCACATGCCTTTGCTCTTTTTCTCCTGGGAACCTTACCTAGTGCTCCTCAAGAACACACTGGCTCCACATATGAAATATGAAAATATGGGGAAAATATGGATAGCAGAGTTTGAGAGGTCTTTTAGGAAGGTGACCTTTTCCTGTCCAAAGAGTAGACCACAGAAAGCAGGAGTGGCTCACACTGAAGTCTGAGGGCTACACAGAACATACACGGAGTGTAGCCTTGGATAACTGTCTATGTACTTGCCAGCTGT